TTCATTCTTGAAGTCAGCAAGACCAAGAACCCACCAATTCCGGACACAATATTACTTAAGGATATTACTCCAGCAATTGTCCTCTCCCCTAAAGGAAACAGTTTTTCCTACTGGACCATTAGAAAAGAAAGATATAATTCCAGTTATTTAAAAAAATGTCTCGTCATCACACATTCCTTTGAAGTTCACAAGCACTCGCTGTGGAAAAAAAGAAAAAAATTGCCCTTCTCATTGGCTCTTTCTTCTCAGTTCCTTTGTAAATTCCTTCTGACCACTCAGACCACTGACTTTAGAATGTCCCAAGTAGGTTTTCTTGGACCTCATTCCTTTTGTAAATGCATTCACTTCCTAGGATCTCATCCTGTCACATGATTTGATGTATCATCTGTAAGTGACAACTACTCACTGTCAAAGTCAATCCCATATTTCTCTCCTAAAGTGAAATTAATAATACTAACTCCTTCCTCAGAATTTTCCTGTGTGTATCTAATTGGCTTCTCAAACATAACTGATCTGTAATTGACTTCAATTTCCCATTTTCCCCAAACCTGCTCCTTCCTCAGCCTTACTCATTTTACAAATGGCAACTTTGTTTCTCCATTGTTCATACCAAATTACTTGGATTATCCTTGACTTCTTTCTTTCATATGCAATCCCTTAGCATATGCTGTCAGCTAGCTCTAGCTCTTTCTTCTAAACACATCTAAAACCTGATTCCTTCTCACTCTTCCATTCTCCCTTAGTCATTCAACCTCCATTTAACTCCTAGATTACTACAACGATCTTGCAATTAGTCTCACTTTTTCTGCCTTATCTGTGTAAAGTCAGCTGTTTCTACAACCAACACATTTCACTTTTAAAACCTAAATCTGATAAGATTCTTCTGCTCATAAACCTCCAGTAGACTATCTCACTCACAGCAAAAGCTAAATACTTACAATAACCTACAGGGTTTAGCATAATCTTCCCCTACATTACCGTTCTCATCCCCTATGATTCTTCCTCTCGTTCAGTTAGTCTATATACACTGGGCTCCTTCTGTCTTTCACATACCTAAGCCTTCTCTCACCTTATGGCCTCTGTATTTGTTCTCCTCACCTTCTGAAACTTTTCTCCTTACATTAGCATGACTCACTCCCTGATTTGCTTCAGGTTCCCTGTTTACCTACATAAAATAACCAGTCTTCTCCCCACCTACCAGTCCTCCCCATTTCCTGTATCCTGCTTTATACTTCTCCATAGGACTAATCATTGTCTGACAAACTAGATATTCACTTGTCTGTTTAATTATGATTTGCTTCCAACACAAGACAATATGCTCTTTGAGAAAGAAGACTTTTTCTCTTTTGATTATTCCTATATTCTTAGCATTCAGAAAAGTGCTTGGAAAATAGCAGCGATCAATAATTTTTTGAATGAATGAGTAAGTAATATTCCCTTTCAATGGTGTATATTCTCTTTGCAAAACGTATTAACAATTATTGTGTATTCAGGAACATTGACAACACCAAGAGGATGTCTATTTCTAGAGTAATGGCTTTCAAAATTTGGGAGTAGGTGGTGAGAAAGGGTGTGATATCATCCTTACACTAAAACTTCTATTTAGCTTGTATATATTCACAAACAACCAAAAACTATCAAAATCTCTTTGAGCCTTCCTCTTTGATATTGAGAAAATTCTTAGACTTGCTATTAATACTTCATGAGCCAGATGACATTAGCAAAATGCTCTGGACTAAATTGTGTCCCCCCAAAAAACTCAGATGTTGAAGCCTTAGCCCCCAGTATGATGGTATTTGGATGTGGTCCCTTTAGGAGATAATTAAGGTTGAATGAGGTAATGAGAACAGGGCTGTCATAATAGGATTAGTGGCTTATTAAGAAAAAGAAGGAGAAGAAGGAAGACTTGGAGTAGGGGAAGATAGTTCTCTGCCTAGAAAAGGACACGGCAAAAAGGCAGAAATCCATAAGTCAGAAAAGAAGGCCAGGAACGGAATTGGCCAGCACCTAGATCTTGGACTTCCAACCTCCAGAACTGTGAGAAATAAAGGTCTGTATTTAACAGGTCTATGGTATTAATATTTTGTTATAACAACCCAAGCAGCCTAATACAATGATCATGGCTAACTACTGGGTTGTTAAAGGGTTGCCATGTAACAATAGTTTAAAGAGAGTCAGGCAGAAAAACATAGTTTTAATATTGTCTTTACCATATCTTAATAATTCATAGATTGAGTAATTCTGGATTAGATTATTATACACTTGGATATTCATTGTATACTGTATATCAGCCAAATAAAAATGCTTGTCCTAACCTTAGGCAATATTTGTCTTAAGCCTCTAGATATATATTCACACAGAAGGACTAGATGCAGAGACTATAGTATTGACTATTTCTATTTTGCTGTTCTGAAACATGCAAAATGCCATTTATTGATGTTACTGAAAATTTCTTGGTCCCAGATGTCATTTATCTTGTACTTCCTAATACTTTCTCCTAAGCTAATGCTGGTTTTCAATGAATTAGTATTTTATAAATATCTGTTGAATGAATGGACAAATGAATGGATCACATGAAAACAAAAGATTTACTTTCTGTAACTATTTTTTAAAAATATAATACACATCTTTTTATCGTTATATAATCTCTCTTTCTATAATGTAAAATATACAATTAATGTTTTTAAAAAAGATGTCATCTAGTTCATTAAAGTGAAATATTTCCTGTTCCAGTAACTTTTTAATGTCATTCACTTACAAAAGCTCCCATTGGGATTTGGGTGACATACTATAATTTAGAATAAAATAGGACAGAACAAAATGAAAGCCTTCTTTGTAAAATTTGCTTTTTCCTTTGTAAAAATTGCTTTGTTTAACCTTCTAATGAATCGCGAATATTAATCTCATGCTAGAGAAGAAGAAATTGGGGCTTTGAGGAAGTAACTTGCCCCAAATGGTAGAAAGAGTATCCAAATTAAGGATCATCTGACTTCATTTTCCTTTCACAACAGCAAGCTGCCTCCAAGGCCTTACTTCTCTCCTTTTCTGACATAGATACAAATATAGATACGTATGAAGTCTCTTCCAGAATTTTCCTCAGATAGGGAGGAGAGGAAAGTTATGCTCAAACCTATCTTCTCCTGGAAATATCTCTAATTTAATCCACATGATCTTATTTTAGTTTCCATTTAAAATAAGCTTCACTATTTCTGAGCTGAATTTTTACTCTATTTCACAATATTATCACGTATCCATGTTTTACTTGGCTCCAAGTTCCTCACTGGCATGGTCTCCTCAGATTTTAAACTTTAAAACACAATATATATTCCATATATGTGGAATATATGTGATATATATTATACAATATATGTTAATTACATATATGTAATTATTTCTTTCCGATTAAAAGAAAACATGTTCCTTAAAGATAAAGGAAAGCACAATCAGAAAAACTAAATTCACTTGTCATACAACTACCCAGAAATAAACACTATGAACATTTTGGTGTTTTCAGTCTCATATTCTATACATATATTTGCACATTAATATACACTTTTATTTCCAAAATTGTTTCATAGTTTCATACTCTACTTATTTTATATCTGTCTCTACATTTGATTATGTCATGTTATTAAATTCATCTTGTCATCTTATTGTCCATCTATATGCATGAAGGAGATAAATCTGGTGTCTCTATGCATCTGTGTTTGTATGTGTGTGTGAATATGCATGTGTGCATATGTTTGTGTATGCGTAGCAGTGTGCTGGAACTGGTTTGTGCCAGTGAGAACTGTGTGAGAATGAGTTGTGAGTATTTTTTTCCTTAATTCACTTTCAATTAAATCATGTGGGTAGTTTGAAAACCATGGTGGGAATAGCCACATCTGGCAAATAGGCAGTTGCTATAAATCAGGGGTTTTAAGTTTCTTAAATTCCAGAGAATCACTTTTTCAGCACACAGCTAGGTTTGGATGTAAAGCGTATGCTAACATAATAAAATAAAAGAAGATTCCTGTACTTTCATGTTCTAGAAACTTATACATGGCACATACATTATCTGTTGCCTGATACCGAGCCACAGGATCTCTTATACATTGCTGACGGTAATGTAAAATGGTATACCCACTCTAAAAAACAATATAACACTTTTAAAGTAGACATTCACTTACCATTTGACTCAGCAGTTGTACCCTTGGGAATTTTTTTCCAGAGAAATGGAGACACATTTCTGTATAAAAACATACATAAATGTTAGCGTCAGCTTTAGTCATAATAGCTTCAAACTGTAAACAACTGTAATATCCTAGTAAGTGCTTAAGGAAACTGTAGTGCTTCCATATCATAGACTACTACTCCACAATAAAAAGAAATGGGTTATTGTTGCATACAATCACTTGGCTGAATTTCAAGAGAATTATTCTGAGTTAAAATAGGCAGTCCCAAAAGTTCACTTGATTTTGATACTCATTATATGGCATTCTTGAAATAACAGGGTTGTAGAGATGGAGAACAGATTAGTGGTTGTGAGGGGTTAGGGATGAGCTAGAGAAAGAGGTAAGAATGAGTATAAAGAGATAGTATGAAGGAGCCTTCTGATGATGGAATGATTCTGTATTTTTTCTATTGTAGTGGTAACATGGGTCTACACATGTAAGAAAATTGCATAGAACAAATTAATACATGTAAAACTGGTTAAATTTTAACAAGATATGTGGAATGTATCAACATCATTTTCCTAGGAGTTATATGTTACTATGAGGGAAACTGAGTCAAGAGTAAATAGGACCATTCTGTATATCTTTTTTATTATTTGTTGTAGAGCTATAATTTTTCAAAATAGTTTTTTTTTAAAAAAGAAACCTGCTGCATTAACAGAGATTTTACATGCATTTTTTTGCTAATAGGGTTATTTTGCTAATATTGCCATAACAAAATACCACAGTCTCAGCAACTTAAACAACAGAAGTTTATTTCCTCACAGCTTTGGAGACTGGAATTCCAAGATCAAGGTGCTAGTACATTGGGTTTCTTCGGAGGCCTCTCTTCTTGGCTTGCAGCTAGTCACCTTCTTGTTGTGTCTTCATACGATCTTTCTTCTGTGTATGTGCTTCTGGTGTCTTTCCAAGCACCCAGATTTTCCCTTTATATGAGAACACCATTAAAATTGAATTAGAACCCACCTTCATTGCCTCATTTTAACTCAATTGCCTATTTAAAGGCCCTGTTTCCAGTAATATCTCATTCCGAAGTACTGAGGGTTAGTGTTTTAGCATGTGAACTTTGGGAAGAAGAGACACAGTTCAGCCCATACTACTAAAAAACCATAGAGAAATAGATTCCCTATTTCTCACAATAGATTCACAAGAGATAAATGTCTTATATTGTCATCAAATGTCAGTTTGAATCTAGAGCAACACTAGAGTCTGTGCCTGGAGATTAAGCCATTTATGGTCAGTGGTTTTCCTTTTTTTTTCTTTTTTGCTTGTGTGTTGCTCAGAAGAAAAATCCTAAAGTTACTTCCTTAAAAAATAATTCATATTGATGCTATTTTTCTATTCTACTCAATGAGACAACTAATCCAAAATTACAGGTGAAAGTCTGGCCAGTGTTGGGGTGATTCATTTCTTGTAGCCATCTACACTTGTCAGGAAAATTGCCCGCTCACCTAAGAATTCGTGGTTGTCTGGATAATCTCACCAAAGTGTAGGGGAACCCACAACCCTGATGTCTGATGCTCACTGTCTCCCTTGTCACTACTGTAGATTCCAGTGAGAAACCACTTTCATGTATGTGTTCTTTCTTTGAGTCATTAAAACATCATTTTGTTTTTCTTTTCAACAGTATGCTTTGTCTTACATGTCATGTTGAAAGAGGAAAAACGGATGCTCCCTGATATTTTTAAGTAAATATAATTTGTGGCCTGGCCTTAGCTTGCATCTCTTTCAACTGCATCTTGTTAACATTCTCTTCTCAGGAATTGATGGGTACAATCTCAGTTCAGACCTCTGTCCTTCTGTCTTTCATTTGATAATGCATCATTTGTTTGCCTTCAGCATTTGTTCTTAGAATTGTTTCTTCTAGAATGACATGGACACAGATCCCCATAAGCCTAATCCTAATCCCACAATTTCTACCCACTTGATTTCCAGGCAACACACACTTATGTGTGTGTGTGTGTGTGTGTACATATGTATATATGTATATATATATCTACAAAAGTAAGAAAGGGGAAAAGGCAAACATTATTTTGACCACCTTACAAATCTGTACTTTATCTCCCAACATCTAAAATTGCTTATTTACCAGAATATCTGTAGCCAAAAGATATTCCTTGAAATATCAGGTCATGCAGTTTCCTCATAGCATCACATCTCTCCATTCAGCAAATATTTTGAGTGTTTACTGTATGTCTGTCATTTTCTTGGTATGGACAGATGCTGACCATAAGAATAAAAACATTTTTGACATCCTTTGTCAAAAATATACATGGTGAATCTTATATTCAATGACATGATTTATAGTTAGAAAAGATAATTGTTAAGTATTTAAGAAATAGTTTTAATTGAAAAATTATTTTGGCTTATCTTCACCCAGTTTTAATATCGATGAAAAATACCTTCTTTTTTGTGCACTGTGATTTATATATACACATTAACACATAATATGGTATTTATCATGCTTCTGTGAAGAAATGTAAACACCACCATTCTCAGCTTAAATTTTCCAGCCATTTAACTTGATGGTCATTCCATGTTTAGAAACACCAAGCATGCCAAATTTAATGTTTTGACAGAAATACAACATTTGCTATTTGTTGGTGTGATCATCTATCTGAAATTTGAAATACCTTTTCTACATATAAAGAAGTTATATAAGCATCATCAACATTATACTAGGCACACATACGTATAGAAATGGCCTGCGATCTAGAACACACAGTGTTCCATTCTTACTCCATTTCTGATTCTCTGAAAACCTGCATTTGTTGTGGCTTATAACTATTGCGACAAATTAAAGTCCGCACTAAACAATAGATTCACGAGAAATAGATGTTTTATATTGTCATCAAATGTCAGTTTGAATCTGGAGCAACACTAGAGGCTGTGCCTGGAGATTAAGCCATTTGTGGTCAGTGATTCATTGTTCTTGTCTAAGAAACAATGACATATTGAAAAATGAACTGATTTTCTCCCTCTCTCTCTGTCTGTTTCTTTGATTCGTTGTACTAGCATTTTGTCTCTCCTTCATATTTAATTAGTTACATTGCAATAAGCAGAGAATGAACTTGATTCTTCTAGTAATTTTGTTCTATTTGTCAATCTACTTAGTGTGTATTTAAAAGATACCGATTTCAGTACAAGAATCATGTCAAAACCATTTTGCATTTAATCAATTTATCAAATGTATATCAAATACTTTTTCTAGCTGAAAAATATGTACAGATCGGGCCAAACTGACACTGGAAAAAGGATATAGGAACAAATTATTTGTTAATAAATGAAAAGATAATTTGTGTTTTAGATTATTTCATATACAGTATTTTTCTGTAAGAATTATAATTAAGAATTTTAAAAATAATGTTGATGTTTTAAATAAATACCTCAAAAAGAACAATTTAAAAGATAATTGAAATTCTTCACAAAAACTGTGTTGCTTAGAACCATCTTCTTAAGACCAGAACTTAATGAAAAATAATGTAGCAATAATACTTTATATTCACTAGCACTTGTCAAATTTTAAAGCATATTCATAATCATTTCCATTCAAGTAGAAGATAGTCATTGCACTCTACAATTTTCAAAAAAATTTAGTGTGTGGTTTCTCAACATCATATGCAATTTAAATTCAACCTAATGACATCAACTGGGAAAAAAAAGATATTCATCTGATTTTCCTTTATATCTTTTTCATTGTTGAGCAAGAACCATCATATTCTTTAACACTGAGCAAATATATCAGACTCACTAAAAAGTAGAAAAATCTAAAAATGGAGTTACTAATAACCCATAAATGCATTGGTTAATACTGGTTTATAGATCATTATTTTAAAGAGAACCCTAAAATTCTGAAAGGACATTCCCTACCTGCCATTGTACCTTTATGTCCTAAACTCCAAACATCACTGCTACCAAGTCAATGGAATTACTGGATTTAGATGGTAGTTTTCTCTTTCTGGAATATGGACTTAAAATATTATATTAGAGTACAGATTATGTTAAGGGTAACATCATAATACTATATATTGCTTAAATGTTTGTGTGTTTTATTTAGGAAGTTTACTTTTGAAATGAATATAGTATATGTAGTTCACATCGGAACCAACCAAAAGCATTAACACAATGCACTATACTATAAAATCCTTGTGTTTTATTAAATATACACTTGAGCACATATTTCAAATATTGTCAGTATAGTCCAATGTCTGCCGGTTGGTGCATTTGCTAAATGTAAAGTTTATCTATTTGATCTTTAAATTTGTTTAATAATTAAGGATTATGTTTTGTTCATTTTATAACAAGGACAGAACATGAAATAAATTGTTTTTAATTTTATAAAACCCAAACATCAATTGCTTATAAAAATAATGCACTCTTGACTAAGTGATCCTAGTTTGTACTCTTCCAATATATCAGCAATTGTTTTATTAATGGCTCACTTTTAGAGTCTTTACATTTAACTTAGCTTTCTAAAACTGAGGTTAAAAATCAGCCATCCCTTGCTATTTATAAATTCCACTTGTGAGAGGAGACATGTCCAGGAAGTCTGAGGGGTGGGTCAAGGACATTAAATATCATCACATGTATGCTTAGTGTTGGTATTTATTAGACAATTAATATGTATTAGCTCTCCTTAATTCTTGGACCTAAGTGTTTACGGGTGAAAACATCACAACACTCTCCTAAGCTTAATTTATATCAGCATCATTTTACAGACTAGGATTACAAACAACCAATTTTGGAAGTCTATATAAACGCTGGATATAGAAAAATAAAATCCTTGCATTTCAGGCTCTCCAAGCGTTATCTTGCCATCAGGCAGCCTTAGGATTTTTGGTTTTGATTTGTCTTACTTTTGTGTATTCACATCTGAAGGAAGTTATTTGTTGAACTTCTACTTACAAGATAAGTTTGATGAAAAGATTTATTTAATCAATGGTCTTATAATTCACGAAGAACGAGTTGAAGCTGGACATTCAGGTTCAGGATGCTGGTATTATTTCATCTCCCTTCTCTTTTTATCACACATGGGTGCATACACAATAGAATGAATTAACCAATATTCTCAGGTAATAATTTTAGATATTTTCTGATTGAATGTAGTATACACATATTCAATTTTGATTACTAAACATCTTCCTTATGAACCCATTAACTTTTTCTTGTATGTAATCAATAGTGAACAAAAGTAAGATTTCTCAGAGGAATTATTGTAATGATTTGGAACTAGTTATGTATCTAAGTATCATCTTGGGCGTAATTTTTACTGATCACGAGGTAAAACATGATTTTTAATTAAAAGGCATTAGTTTTAAGAGAAGTTTTAGGTTCACAGCAAATTTAAGAGGAAGACATAGAGATTTCCCACATATCGCCTACCCCACATATGAGCAGCCTCCCCTCTTGCCAACAACTCCCATTAAGAGTGGTACATTTGTTACAATCGACAAACCTACATTGATATTTCATAATCACCTGAAGTCCATAGTTTACATAGGGCTGACTATTGATCTGGTAACTTTCATGGGTTTGGACAAATGTATAATGACATGTATCCAGCAAAGCAGTATCTTACAGAGCAGTTTCCTGGCCCTGGAAATCCACTGTGTTTCAACTGTTTATCACTTCCTCCTCCCACACCCTGGCAACCACTGCTTCCCAAGGCTATAAACATCCCTGTGCAGTGATACCTCTGTGTGGATGTAAGTTTTCAACTCCTTTGGGTAAATACAAAGGAATTCAACTGCTGGGTTATATAACATGATCTTTTTTTAAACCAAATAGTCTATGGTTTCAGAAATTTTCTCTTTCAGAAAAAAATTTGGTTCAGAAAAATAATACTATATTTTATGTATATACCTGTTTTAAGAACTGATATCACAAATAGGCATCATATGTGATTTAATGTCCTGGTTTGTGACAGTCTTTAAGACAATCAGTTAACTGATTTTTAAATAAATTTGAAAGCCCTTTTTGATAGTTATGGAATTCAATAATGCTTACACTTTAATACAAATGGAATTAAATCTCATTTTAAATAGAATGACCCCAACAGTTTAATGAAAATAAACTTGGATGCAAGTTTTAGCCTTCTGGTGGAATTCTGCCAGAAAAGCTTTCACTAGATAACAATCACTGTAATTATAATAGCAACTGACAATGGCTTAAACATGACCCACACACATCCTTCTAAAATCACAAAGCTCTTAAACGATAACATGGTCAATGACAGGGTTACGGGTACGACTGTAAAAACCCAGGGTGAGAAGAAAAGGAAAAGCAAGTGGCTCATACAAAGAAGACCATCAAACCTGCTGGGATAATTTAGATAATTAATTTTGTCCTTGAATTGAAAATGTTCTTTTAAATTTGATGTATTTTCCACTCTTTTTAATTTTACTTATAATTTTAGAAAAGTTGAGTGATATAACTGATTTGAAATTAAGCATAAGTGTCGTTTTGATGTGAAGCCTTGCTTGATATTCCTTTGGTTTATATTATTAAAAACTAGCAATCAACTGAAATATTTTAAAAGAAATTTTACAATTTTAGTAGTAGATGCTTTATTAAATCAATGTATAGATGTAGTTATGTTTCTTACTAAAGTTAAATCATATTCACTATATATGCATGTAAACACGTATATAGTATGTGTATATGTGCACATGTATCATACACATGTATACACTCATACATTTACATAAATACACATATATGTATACATATATACATAACATAAATACACATATATGTATTGAGTATAACCAAACATCTATGCTTCTTGGGAATTTGAATAAGTATGAAGAGTGAATAATTAGACATAAAAATGTAAATTAATTGAAACACAAATGTTGACTACACAAAGTCCAAGGTAAGAATTTCAGCAGTGAGCTGTTTAGGTGTTTGTAAGTTGTCCAAGACTACAAATTGAATCATTGGTGTTTCTGGGAGGAAACATAGCTTTTGCTGTGATATAGAATAATGCTCTGAATTTGTCATTTAATAATCAGATAATACTCGCTATTTCCAAAAAAAAAAATCCTATGCTCAAATATTGCTATAAAATAGGAAACTAGAGTGGAAAAGTCAAGAATGGAATCAATGCCCCCAGTTAAGCAGTTAATCACTCATAAGGTCTAGTTAGTACGATCAAGACCCCGCTTTTTTAGTATCTCTTATTAAAATAAATGAAAAACATCAAAGTAAAGGAAAAATCAACCTTATACAAAGGAGAAATAATTGAATTCTATCTACTCTTCAGACCTTAGTAATTGAAGCATTGCTTCACTTTCTAATTTGGATAACCTCATTAACTGTTTTCTACCTTACGCCTTTTCATGTTCCATGAGCTCTTTATCAAATGCAATCCTATCTTTTCTGGCATTCTATACTTTTCAACATGATTTTTAAATCGCCACATTTGCCCCATTCTGATGTCTCGCTTCATTCAGCATTTACATTCCATGTTACTTTACATATACTAATGTGTTTTTAAATTGTTCTTAATTAGAAAATCTATTGAATCACTAAAGAATTATTTTTTTATTATTTACTATTTAAAATACACATGCTTATTAATAATTTGCGTTAGTTCGGTTTCACGCTGCTGATAAAAACATACCTGAAACTGGAAGTAAAAAGAGATTTAATTGGACTTACAGTTCCACATGGCCAGGGAGGCCTCAGAATCATGGCAGGAGGTGAAAGGCACTTTTTACATGGTGACAGCAAGAGAAAAATGAGGAAGAAGCAAAAGTAGAAACGCTCGATAAACCCATCAGATCTCGTGAGACTTACTCACTATAACAAGAATAGCACCGGAAAGATTGGCCCTCATGATTCAATTACCTCCCCCTGGGTCCCTCCCACAACATGTGGGAATTCTGGGAGATACAACTCATGTGATTTGGGTGAGACACAGTCAAAGCATATAATAATTATTTAGCATCATAAAACAAAGGCATTGCATTTAAAAACGAGTTAATTTTTCTTTCTACTAGAAATGTTAGAATAAATTCTATCTTAACAGCTACACAATTTTGATGATCAGCTTTTCTAGAATTTAAGGATAATTATTTCTAACATATAAGTACTTCTTGAAAGAACAGAACCAATTTTGAAAACTAAGTTTAAACATACTAAACTTAGTGGTTAAATTTTTTTTCTGGGAACATCTCAAACTGCTATTAGTATCAATATGTGTACATATGTTTGCAAGTAAAGCCAAAGTTAGACCTTATAGTAGTCTTTCTTGTATTTTTTTAATTTTTAATTTTTGTGATTGCATAGTAGGTTTATATATTTATAGATGACACAAGACATTTTGATACAGGCATACAACATACAATAATTACATCAAGATAAATGGATATCCATCCCCTCAAGCATTTACCCTTTCTTTGTGTTAAAAACAATCCAATCATACTCTTAAAGTTTTTTTTTTTTTAATTTGCAATAATATCGTTGGCTGTAGTCACCCTGTCGAGCAGTCAAATAGTAGGCCTTATCCATTCTATCAAAGTGTATTTTTGTGCCCTTAACCATTCCCACTCCCCCACCACCCCTACTGTCTTTCCCAGTCCCCAGTAACCTTCATTCTATTCTCTATCTCTATTAGTTCAATTGTCTTAATTTTTAGCTCACACAAGTAAGTGAGAACATGCCAAGTTTAGCTTTCTGTGCTTGGTACATTATTTCATTTAATATAATGACCTCCAGTTCCATTCATGTTATTGCAAATAACAGGATCTCATTGGTTTTTATGGTTCAACGGTACCCTATTATGTATATGTACCATATTTTCTTTGTCCATCCATCTGTTGATAAACACTTAGGTTGCATTCAAATCCTGGCTATTGTGAATAGTCCTGCAATAAATATAGGAGTGAAGACATTTTTTTAATATACTGATTTCCTTTATTTTGGCATATACCTAGCAGTAGAATTACTGGATCTTATGGTAGTTCCATTTTTAGTTTTTTGAGGAAACTCCAAACTGTTCTCCATAATGGTTGTACTGATTTACATTTACAACAGTATGAAGGTTCCCTTTTCTCCAGCATTTGTTATTTCCTGTCTTTTGGGTAAAAGCCATTTTAACTGGGGTGAGATAATATCTCATTGTAGCTTTGATTTCCATTTTTCTGATGATCAGAGATGTTGAGCATCTTTTCATATACCTGTTTGCCATTTGCATGTCCTCTTTTGAGAAATGTCTATTCAGATCTTTTGGCCGTCTTTAATCTAATTATTAGATTTTTTCCCTATAGAGTTGATTGAGCTCTTTTTATATTCTAGTTGAAAGATGAATAGTTTGCCAATATTTTCTCCCATTCTGTGCATTGCCTCTTCACTTTGTTGATTGTTTGCTTTGCTGTGCAGAAGCTTTTTAACTTGGTGTGATCCCAGTTGTCCATTTTTACTTTGGTTGCCTATGTTTGTGGGGTGTTACTCTAGAAATATTTGCCCACTCCAATGTCCTGGAGAATTTCCTCAATGTTTTCTCATAGTAATCTTATAGTTTGAGGTCTTAGATTTAGGTCTTTAATCCATTTTGATTTGATTTTTGTGTATGGTGAGAGATCGTGGTCTAGTCTCATTCTTCTGCATATAAATATCCAGCTTTCCCAGCATCATTTATTGAAGAGACTGTCCTTTATCTAATGATGTTCTTGATATCTTAGTCGAGAATGAGTGCACTGTAAAAGTAAGAATTTGTTTCTGGTTTCTCTATTCTGTTTCAGTGGTTTATGTGTCTATTATTATGCTGGTACCATGCTGTTTTGATTACTATAGCTCTGAAGTATTCACTGAAGTAAAGTAATTCTTTCTGTTTTTTTTCTTTTTGCGCAGGATAGCTTTGGCTATTCTGGTTTTTTTGTTTGTTTGTTTGTTTTTGTTTTTGTTTTTGTTCCATATACATTTTTGGATTTTCCTTTCTACTTCTGTGAAGAATGTCATTGGTATTTTGACAAGGACTGCATTGAATCTGTAGGTTGCTTTGGATAGTATGGACATTTTAATAATATTGATTTTTCCAATTCATTAACAGAATATCTCCATTTTTTGTGTCCCCTTCAATTTATTTCACAAATTTTTAAAATTTATTTTTCTTTTTAGTTTCTTTTAATTTTCTAAACTTTTATCTTAAGTTCAGAGGTCCATATGCAGTTTTGTTACACAGGTAAACTTGTATCATGGGGGTTTGTTTTACAGATTATTTCATCATCCAGGTATTAAGCCTGGTACCCATTAAGTATTTTTCTTGATCCTCTCCCTCTTCCACCCAGCAACCCCCAAGAAGCCCCAGTATGTGTTGTTCCTCTCTAAATGTCTGGTGTTTTCTCATCATTTAGCTCCCACTTGTACATGAGAATATGTGGTATTTGATTTTCTGTTCCTGCATTAGTTTGCTAAGGGTAATGACCTCCAGCTCCATCCATGTCCCTGCAAAGGACATTATCTCTTTTTTTTTTTTTTTTTTTTTTTTTTATGGCTGGATAGTATTCCATGGCATTTAGGTTGATTCCATGTCTTTGCTATTCTGAATAGTGTTGCAATGAACATCCGTGTGCATGTCTTTATAACAGAATGATTTATATTCCTTTGGATATAGGCCCAGTAATAGGATTTCTGGGTCAAACGGCATTATTCTCTTTAGGCCTTTGAGAAATCACCACATTGTCTTCTTCCACAATGGCTGAACTAATTTACACTCTTTCTAAGAAAGTATATATCTTCTTCACAGCCTAGCCAGAATCTGTTATTTTCTGACTTTTTAATAATAACCATTCTGAGTTGCATGAGATGGTAGCTCATTGTGGCTTTTATTTGCATTTTCTCTAATAATCAGTGATGTTAAGCTTTTTTTCATATGATTGTTGGCTGCATCGATAACTTATTTTGAAAAGTGTCTGTTTATATTTTTTGCTCATTTTTTAATCGGTTTATTTGGGATTTTTTTCTTGTAAATTTGTTTAAGTTCTTTACAGATGCTGGATATTAGACCTTTGTCAGGTGCATAGTTTACAAAAATTTTCTCCCATTCTGTAGGTTGTCTGTTTAGTATGTTAATAGTTTCCTTTGTTGTGTGTAGCAGCTCTTTAGTTTAATTAGATCCCATTTGTCAATTTTTGCTTTTGCTGCAATTTCTTTGCCGTCTTTGTCATGAAATCTTTGCTTGTGCCTAGGTCCTGAATGGTATTGCCTAGGTTGTCTTCCAGGGTCTTTATAGTTTTGGTTTTTACATTTAAGTCTTTAATCCATCTTGAGTTTATTTTTTGTTTATAGTGTAAGGAAGTGGTCCACTTTCAATCTTCTGCATATGACTAGCCAGTTATCACAGCACCATTTATTGAATAAGGAATCATTTCCTCATTGCTTGTTTTTGTCAGGTTTGTTGAAGATCAGATGGCTGTAGGTGTGTGGCCTTATTTCTAGGTTCTTTATTCTATTCCATTGTTCTATGTGTCTGTTCTTGTACCAGTACCATGCTGAATGGGCAAAAGCTGGACGTATTCCCCTTAAAAACTGGCACAAGACAAGGATGTTGAATTTTATCAACATCCCTTCACAATAAAAATCCTTTTTCAAGCATTTTGTTGTCCTTCATTCTGTTGATACAGTGTATCACCTTTACTATTTGTGTATGTTGAATCATGCTTGCATTTCTGGAGTAAATTCCAGTTTGTTATGATGAATCATCTTTTTATTGTTGAATTTGGTTTGCTAGTATTTTGTTGAGTATTTTTGCATCAATGTTCATCATTTTGGCCTTTTTTTTTTTTTTGTATTTTTGATGTGTCTGTCTCATTTTAGTATCAGGGTACAGACCTCATAGAATGAGTTTGGAAGTATTCCTTCCTCCTATGTTTTTCAGAACAGTTTGAGTAGGATTGATATTAGTTCTTTAAATTTTTGGTAAAATTCAGCAGTGAAGGCATCAGGTCCTGAGCTTTACTTTGCTGGAAGACTTTTTATTTGATCTCATTATTTGCTATTGGTCTATTCAAGTTTTCAAATTATTCATGGTTCAATCTTTGCAGGTTGCATATGTCTAAGAATTTATCCATCTCATCTAGATTTTCCAATTTCTTGGCATGTAGTTGCTCATAGTAACCTCTAATGATCCTTTGGATTTCTGCAGTATTTATTGTAATGTCTCTTTTTTCACCTCTGGTTTTATTTACTTGGGTCTTCCTTTTCTTTTTTTTTTTTTTTCTTAGTTACATCTGGCTAAATGTCAATTTTATTTATGTTTTCAGAAAACCAACTTTTCATGTCATTAATCTTTTGTATTGTTCTCTTCATTTCAATTTTATTTATTTCTACTCTGAACTTAATTTTTTTTTTCTACTAACTTTGGGTCAATTTATTTGCTCTTGCTTTTCTAGTTCTTTAAGATGCATCATTAGGTTGCTTATTTTTAGTAGAACTTTTTCTACTTTTTAAATGTAGGTGCTTATACCTATAATTTTTCCTATTAATACTGCTTTCACTGTATTACATTGGTTGTGGTATGCTCTGTCCATTGTTTTGTCTCACAAAATTTTTTAATTTCTTCCTTTATTTCTTCACTGACTCATCAGTCATTCAGGAGCATATTGATAATTTCCATGTGTTTGTATCATTTTCAAAATTCCTCTTGTTATTGATTTCTACTTTTATTGTGGTTAGAGAACATACTTAATACAATTTATTTTTGGGTTTTT